AAATATATTTAGAAGTATTCTTGCTCTTCAATTTTTTTGGAAAATTTTAAGAAGGATTGGCATTAATTCCTCTTTGAATGTTTGGTAGAATTCACCAGTGAAGCCTTCTAGTCTTGGGCTCCTCTCTGTTGGAAGATTTTAGATTACTGGCTCAATCTTCATATCATTTATAGGTCTATTCAGATTTCCTGTTTTTTAATGATTTAGCTTTTGTAGATTGCAAGTTTCTAAAATTTTATCAACTTCTAGGTTTTCCAATTTTTTGGCATATAATTGTTTATAGTAGTATCTTATGATTCTTTTGTGTTTCTGTGGTATCAGCTGCAATGTCTTCTCTTACATTTACCATTTTATTTGAGTCCCCTCTCTCTCTCTTCCTTTGCTTAGGTAAGGGTTTGTTAACTTTGTTTTACTCTTTTCAAAAGAAAATCAACTCAATTTCACTGAGTTTTTTCCAATTGTTTTTCTATTTTCTATTTTATTTATGAATCTTTATTATTTCCTCCCTTCTGCTAACTTTGTGCTTAGTTCTTTTCTAGTTCCTTGAGGTATAAAGTTAGGTTACTTATTTGGGATGTTTCTTCTTTTTCAGTTTGGTATTTATCCCCATGAACTTCCCTCTTAGTACTGTTTTGCTGCATTCCGTAAATTTCGGTATGTTGTGTTTCCATTTTTTTGTTTGTCTTACAGTATTTTCTAATTCCTTTTAAAAGCTTCTTTTTTAACCCAATGGTTATTCAAGAATACATCTTTAATTTCCACATACTTGTGAATTTTCCAGTTTTCTTTTTGCTGTTAATTTATAGTTTTATTCTATTATGGTTAGGAAAAAAAAAAAACTTGCTATGATTTCAGTCTTCCTAAATTTGTTAGAACTTGTTTTGTGACCTAACGTGTTATCTATCCTGGAGAAAGATCTGTGTGCACTTGAGAAGAATGTTTATTTTGTTGCTGTTGGATGGAATGTTCTGTATATGTCTGTTAGGTTCATTCAGTTTGTAATGTTTCTCAAGTCCCGTTTCCTTATTTTCTGTATAAATGCTCTATTCATTATTGAAAGTGGGGTACTGAAGTCTCCTACTGTTGTTGCATTGCTGTCTGTTTCTCCCTTCAGTTCTATTAATGTTTGCTTTATATATTTAGGTGCTCTGATGTTAGGTGTATATGTATATTTATGATTATTATATATTCCAGGTAAAGTGACCATTTTATAATTATAAAATGTTCTTGTTTCTTGTGAAAGTTTTGACTAAAGTCTATTTTGTCTGATATAAGTCTAACTACCCTCTCTCTTTTGGTTACCATTTACATGAAGTCTCTTTTTTTTATTTTTATTTTTTTGAGACAGAGTTTCACTCTGTTGCCCAGGCTGGAGTGCAGTGGCATGATCTTGGCTCACTGCAAGATCCACCTCCTGGGTTCATGCCATTCTCATGCCTCAGCCTCCTGAGTAGGTGGGACTACAGGCACCCACCACCACGCCCAGCTAATTTTTTGTATTTTTTAGTAGAGACGGGGTTTCACCATGTTAGCCAGGTTTGTCTCGATCTCCTGAACTCGTGATCCACCCACCTCGGCCTCCCAAAGTGCTGGGATTACAGGTGTGAGCCACCATGCCTGGCATATCTTTTTCATCTCTTTATATTGAATCTATGTGTGTCTTTAAATGTAAAGTGAGTTTTTGGTAGACAGCATATAATTAGGTCTTTTTTTAAAAAAATGATTGAGTGACTGTATGTCTTTGGATAATGATTTTCATCCATTTACACTTAGATAATTATTGATAGAGAAAAAATTATTATTGCCATTTTTTGGTTAGTTGTTTCTCTTAGTCTTGTAGTTCTTTTATCTGCCTTTTTCTTTCTCTTGCTGTCTTCTCTTGTGTTTTGATGATTTTTTTTTGTATTGATATGCTTTAATTCCTTTCTTTTTTTCTTTTGGGTAACTTCCACAGCTATTTTTATTTGTGTGATTACCTTGGGGCTTATATAAATTGTCTTCAATTATAACAGTCTATTTTAAGCTGATGACAACTTAAGTTCAATTACATATAGAAACTGTACACTTTAATTTCTTCTCTGATCACTTTATGTTACTGCTGTCATGATTTAGATCTATTCATACTGTGAATCTTTAAACATGTTTTAGTTTACTTTCTGTACTTTTGTCTTTCATACTAGAATTAAAAGTGAATTACCCACTTTTATACTACAGTAATACAGTATTTTACATTTCTGTGTATTTACCTGTACCAATGAGTTTTATACTTTCGAATGATATCATATTGCTCTTTAGTATCCTTTTATTTCAACTTGAAAAATTTCTTTAGCATTTTTTTGGATGGCAGGTCTACTGGTACAGAACTCCCTCAGCTTTTGTTTGTCTGTGAACATCTTTATCTCTCCTTCATTTCTGAAGGAGAATTTTGCTGGGTATAGTGTCCTTGGTTGGCAGTCTTTTTCTCTTAGCACTTTGAATATATTGTCCTATTGTTTCCAGGCCTACAAAGTTCCTGCTGAATAATTCACTGATAGTCTTATCATAGTTTCTTTTTTATATGACAAGTTGCTTTTCTCTTGCTGCTTTCAAAACTTTCTGTTTTTGACTTTTGTCAATTTGAATACATTAAGTCTTGCTGTAGATATATTTGGATTCACTTTTTGGTGTTCTTGGATCTGGATGTCCAACCCCTTCCTCAGATTTGGGATGTTTTTAGCCATTAGTTTTCTAAATGAACTGTCTGATCCTTTCTCTCTCTCTCTTTCTCTCTTTGCCTTCTGAAACTTCCATAATGCATGTATTGGTTCACCTGAAACTGTCTCACAATTCCCTTAAGCTTTCTTTACTCTCTCTCATTCTTTTTCTTCTACTCTGACTGAATTATTCTTAGGAACTTGTCTTCAAGTGGCTGATTCTTTCTTCTGCTTGTTATAATCTGCTATTGAACTCTTCTAGTGGATTTTTCAATTCAGTTATTGTGTTCTTCCACTCCATAATTTCTATTTGGTACTTTAAAATATTTTCTGTCTCTTCGTTGAAATTCTCACTTTGTTTCTGCATTGTTCTCTTGACCTTGGTGAACATCTTTAAAAGAACCATTTTACATTCTCTGTGAGGTAAATCATATAATCCTGCTTTATTAGGGCCAGTTTTTTGAGAGATATTTCTTATTTCTTTGTTTGGAACACTTTGCCTGTTCTTCATTTTGTTGGACTCTGTATTTGTATTTGTGCCTGAGACAAAGCAGCGTCTCTCAGACTGGCCCTGTACAGAAGACTCCCAACCATCAGCTGCGTCAGAGATTCTGAGGGCTTTTATCAACTCTTCCTCTCCCCCAAGGAGAAGCAGGCAGCTGTGTTTTTTGTTTTTTGTTTTTTTTTTGTCCACTAGCTCTGTGTTTAACCAGAGGAAGAGGGCTATGCTATTTATCAGCCCAAGCTGCCATCTTCACTGTTCCTCAGGCTATGAGGCTGTGGTTGACCTATCCATGTCCCAAGACTGGCAGGGCAAACTTAATTCTCTGGCAGATCCTCCTGCAGAAGTTGGGACATTGAATAGTGAATTGAACCTTGCCCTTTACGGGAGAAGCTGGGAGCTCATGGATCTTTTCTAATCATACGATCCTGTTCTGGGGGCAGAATCTGATGCAGGGTGTCCTGAACGTTTTTACAAGCTTTTGTAAGTCTGGTTTCACATTCTCTGGGGGTGTAGGAGCCTTTCAGTGAGTCTCAATAATCAATAATTTTAGTAATTCCTGATTTCAGAATGATTTCTGAATCGGTGTGTTTGTGGAGGAAAGGAGGATCGAGGGCTTCCTACTCTGCCACATTGCTAATGTCACACTCGCTGATTGTTATATATTTTGGCAACTCAGACAACCTCCAATTTAAATCCTTCTGCACACACTGTTTCTGAATACTAGTCTATAACTAGCGACTGCAATGCTAAGGCTTAATAATATAATAAAAGCCCCAACTGCCCACAGTTGTCAGAAGCTGCAGCAGCTTAAGGTCAGATTGTTGATGGCATCATCTTCTCAGGATTTCATTTCAGGACATCTCATCCATGGGGTGAGAGAGAGGATGAAGCCATCAAAAGGGAAGTAGCAATAGAGGAAGAGGAAACAAACAGGAGACATGAGAGGTTAAAGTGCTGGAGAGGAAGTGAGAAAGGTGGGAAAACAAAAGTTGGAAGAGGAGGAAGGGAGAAAAAGCAGAGAGGAGCAGGTAAGAGTGAGAGGTTTCTACCCTCCTCCTTAACTCCTGGCCATCTCCTGCTCCCCTCCTCTGCTTCTGTCCAGGCTGGTAGGCTTTGCCACAGGGAGCTCTTTCTCTTCCTTAGGGCCAGTGCTCCTCCCAGGTGACATAATTTTTTACGCTTTTTTGCTCTGGTCCACTCACTGAGGCTACTGCCTCCCTAGAACCTTGGTCCTCAAGTTAGAGAGAGATTCTAAATGTCTATGGACCAGTCACAAGGACTACACCGAGGCCCTTTGCTTCACCATCGCCCAGGCCAGTCAGCCACACTCAGCTCTCCACAGAAGAGAACCTGGAACCTCCTTCCTGGGACAGCCTATTCTCTCTGCACAGCTTTGGGTCTTGGCAGCCAGAGTCTTGGCAGGAAAAAGCTGGAACATCCACACTCAGAAGGCCTGGGGTGTGGATGGTTTCTGCTGAGGTCAGGCTACAAGCATTTGCATGACAAGCATGGGAAAGGAGCATGGACAGATTTTATTTTGCGACGATCTTTTTCTTGGGATGCACATGACCGCTCGAGGATTGGGGGTGCTGGTTGGCTCCTACCTATTGCTCTGATTAACTCCTTTGAGCCCCGAGCTTCTGTGACCGACAGGAGGAGGACAAGCAGGGAGTGTGCTCGAGTCATCCTCTCAGGGAGGGAGCAGAGGAGAAACCCATTCCACTGGCTTCCTCAAGCAGGGAAATAGGGAACAACGACGAGGAAGACGGCTTTGGAAACAAACATTGAAGCAACAACAACAATTCAAGATGCTTTGGACTGAAAGCAAAGAAGACCCAAAGTAAAACAGCTATAAGAACAAGGACATGTATGATATGCCACAGCAAAAGCATAGGTGTGGGTGGTCTCAGAGTTGATGCGGTGGCTCCAGAGGTCCTCAGGGACCCCATTGAGTTTTCATCATTCCCCTCTGCCACTGCTGTCTGCTGTGATGCTGCTCTCAGTGGTTGCAGGAAGACTGCGGCCTTTCCATGCAGCAGAGAAACAGAGTTCTCCTACTCAGCCATTCCTTATCAGTAGGGAAAAAAGTCTTTTCCTTGGAGTCCGTGGCAGAATTCCTATTAGTGCTATTGGCCAGGGCTGGCCCTGTGCCCAAAACTCTGCAGGCAGTGCAGGCTGGCGAGGGCTGCTCTTCTGGGCCTCAGGGTAGAGGGTGGGCTGTGCTCCAGACACATGGGTGGGAGGGGCATCTGGATAGGCCCATGGCATCTGCTGCATCCCACACATCATAGAAATCCCTGAGGGGTCGTTTCTGTTGTCTCTCTGTTGGGATTCACAATGAAATGATGATGATGACTGTGGAGGGCTATTTTTATAGGAGCACGGATGCAGAGGCATCTGCATCCTGCTTCACAGCCAGGCTCGGGGAATCCCCAGGGAACCATTGGACCACGGAGTGTCTGGTCCACTGAGGAAGAGAAGGCGAGCTGATCCTACGGGAGGAAGAAAGGAGACCCTGGGGGAATCAGGGGCTCGATTAGCCACTGGGGGACATTCTGGAGTGAACAGTGCTTAGCCACAAGCAAGAACTAATGGATCGGGAAGAACTGTTTTGTTGCTCTGCCAGGCGGTGTGGTGAGTTCTTTGCACTCATTTTGCCTAGGCCTAATCTTGCCAGTGATTATTACCCCAAGTTTGCCAACGAGGGAAAAATGTTTCCTGTTTTCAGCTGTTGGCCAACAGCCCCCCATCTCCCATGTGACTCTTCAAATGTGCACCAGATGCTTGAATTTCTGGAGGGATGTGCTCTCACTCCAGGTTTTGCCTGGTCCAGGAGCTTAGCATGGAGCCACTTGGTCATTATCATTTGTGATTTTTTTGTCCATTACTGGTACTTTCTAAAAGCACTGGGGGCAGTCTTTAGCAGGGGGTCCAGCTCTCTTGGCAGCTAAACTGCTCCTTGTGGAAAGTTAGAGCTGCAGAACATACCAGACTCTGAAAGGCACTCTGCCCAGCATTGCTGAGGGTCCTCAGAGACTCCGCCTATGTTCTGCCAGTCTGACCTGGGCACCTCATCCCCTCCTGCTGAAGCTGCGTCTAGTTTGCTGATCAGGTTTTCTGTGCTCTGACCACTTTTGACAACTGTCCTGCTCTACTCCTACCTCTTCTCCCTGCGCATGGAAACGGGACCCTCCTTTGTTTGCCCAAAGCATAACGAACGCTAAGATCTGGCATTTAACAAGACTTCCTTAAGAAGCTTGGGCATGACCTGGGAGATTACAATGGAGAAGAGGACAGCTCCACACCGAGTCTCATGCACACACGTAGAATATCTAAGGAATGATGTACAGGTACCCTGTTACGTAGTGGGGATTAGGTTGCTGGAGAGAAAGATGAAAGGGAGATTAGCTTTCTGGTCTAAACATGTTGAATGTTGCCCTTGAAATTTAAATCATGTTGCATATATTCCCCTTTCCAATTCAATCAATCAACAATAAACACACATTAGATTAGTCACTGCTGTTTCTATCATCTAGAAGTCCTTCACAGGGTCTTTCCTTTCTGTCCCATTTGCTGTCCCATTTTGCAGGGCTTAGCTTATCCTGCCCCCTCTCCACACACAGAGTCTCCCATGGTCCTGAACTCCCTCCCTGAGCCTGTATGACCCCAAAACACTGTTGGGCCAAAGAGAAAGCCAAGGCAACCCATCCTAATGGCCAGGCCTGATCCTCCACTCCTGGGCAGATGGCCTCTCGCATCACTTTGGACCATACCTCTCCTTGTCTCAACCTCTACCTTTTTAGAAGAGGATTTAGGGTTTACCTGCATAACCAAAGGTTGACTGAAGAGTTGGCCTCTGCTTGGAGAGGCTCAGTAGCCAAAGGCCAACTGAAGAAATTAGACTGCAGTTTTCCATAGTTCACAGGGGGTCTCGCAGCTGGGGGGATTTTGGAGATAGTATGCAACCAGCTCATTTACTCATAAAGACATTGAGGGTCAGAGGGGAGAAGGAACTGCAGCTTGAATTTCTCTATCCAGAGAGTGCTGCTGGCCCCAGCATGACTGGAACCGGCATGACTGGAACCCTGACACTCTCTGACCTATGATTCGGCCTCCAGACTTCCCTGGGCTATGTGACTAAGCCTGGAGGGGCTCCCCTCAGCTCAAGTCACTGCAGAATGTTCACAGGGCAGGTGGCAGAGGACAAAACGAAAGGCCAATACCCATAGAGATATGACGGCTGGAAGGTGCTGCAGCCTCTTGGACATTGCCCGTGGGAGGGATGGCCGGAGTCTCTCCCTGCAGGGGGGGTGTGGATGGAGTCTGGAGGGGGCCAGCTTTGAGCATGCCAAAGGAAAAGCCTTGTAGGTGGGAGGCCGCCATCAGTTCTCAGATGGAGGCTGCAGCTCTGCAAGACACTAGGCCCAGCCAGGCAGTTCGGAATGCGTTCTGGCGCTGCTTGCCGACACTGAAGTACTGCGCAGTCTGTTATGGGTTGGGTGAGACTCTGAAAATGAAGGTGATGACACCAGGTCATCCCAGGACATTCTCTGTCTGTCGGCTTCCTTTTTGGCTTTTTCATATTCCCTCAGAGCGCTGCTTCCTAATCACGTGTTTTCGGGTTCACCCTGGCACTTATTTCCCCCAAATGGACATGCTGGGGCTGACCTCTGTGGATCCTGATTCGGGGGTCGGAGGTGGGGACTGGCTGTGACGGTGTTGGAATTCTCTCCAGGTGAGTCAGATGCATCTGGTTTGCTGATCAACTTTTCTGTGCTCTGACCGCTTTTGACAACTGTCCTGCCTCTTCTCCCTGCGCATGGAAACAGGACCCTCCTTTGTTTGCTCAAAGCATAACGATCCTCAAACCTTGTTTCCTCTGCGCAAGATTCAGCAGCTGGGAGTCAAGGCTGATGAGTCTGAGTGTTGGGTCAGGGTTTGGATGAGGCATCTCCCTCCTTCATCCTCACACCTCTAGCCAGCTCTCCCCCTTGCCTCAAGGCCCACGGTAGCCTGTTCCATTCACCTTGAACACACTCTCTCCGTGTCTGCCACCTCCCCTTTGCTTATGACATCCTTTCAGCTTGGAGTGCCTTGCGCTTTTCCTCCTGCAGGAAGCCTTCCCTGCTAATCTCATCCCAATCCCCTGACTTCCTACTTCACTCAAGGACTGTACTCCTGGAAGCATGTTTGCTACATCCTGCTTCACAGCTTAAAGCCAGGTGCTCCTGCCTCTTATAGGTCCTGTGTCCTGAAACGCTCAGCCAAGTGTTCTATTGACTGAGCAAATGGAGTAAAAAAAAAAATGAATGCCCATATGAATGAGTGTCAGATGAAAGAACAAATGTATAAATGAATGAACAAATAAAGAATTGCAGACCTCATTGCATGCCTGCACCCCTCCAAAAATAGCACAATCCCAGTCACTGGCTCTCATCTTCCTTCCTGAAACCTCTTCCCTCTTTAGAAAGTGGCTAAGATTGGGGGTGAGCTTCATTTGATTGGACTTGATCTGCTCAGCTCTTATTGACTGAGTTTCATCCAGCCACAAACTGGCCCATTTGGGTCCATGGCTCAGCAGAGGGACCCTGGACTTTTTCTGCCCTCAGAGCACTCAGGGTGACATGCACAGGCCCGAGATTCCACAGCTAGATTATCAACAGCCTCTGCCTGCTTTTTCCAGCTGGCTGTTGCCAGAGCCACTGAGCTATTAATACTCTGCCATCAGCTGCCTTGGAACAATGTGCGGTAAGCAGATTGATCCCTCAGCTAATTTTCTGTGAGCTGGTGGTGGGGGGATGCCTGGGAGGAGTGGGGGTGAAGCAGCCCTGTGGGACTGGTGCCTGGATCTATCTACAGGGGATTTGTCCAGCACCTCACTCTCAGAATCACAGGTTTTCCACACCTAAGTCCTGTGTGTCCCTCGACCAACACATCTGCATCATTTCCAGTGTCCTAAGGGATGTGATGATTGCCAAGGGCCTTGGGATTGGGTTACCTCTGGGTTATCCCAATTGGATAGTGAGTTAGGTGAAGAACCTGCGATGAAGACCTTGAAGCTCTGTCAGCTCAGTGATCAGGGGCTGGATGCAAATGGTCCCATTGTGATGCCGACCATCTCGGTCACCCCATCTCTATCTGTCCTCACTGCCACCTCTGCTGCCTCCAAACAAATGGTGTAAGAAAAAAAATGAATGTCCATACGAATGAGTGAGTGTCAGCTGAAAAAAAAAATGAGTAAATGAATGAACAAATAAACAAATAACCATCATCACCACTATTGTTACCCCATCCCAACCTCAAAACTACAACCGTTATCATTAATACCCCATCCCAACTCCAAGATTGGCAGATCAGCCCATCACAACTCCAACCCCACCATCAACAGAAGCACCAGCCCAAATACCGAGACTCGCCATCGCATCACCCTCCACAGCACCCACCCCAACCCCACGCGTCCTGTAACACCCCTCACCATTCCCTTTTCCCTGGTCACCTCTGCTGGCTGTAACGCACGCACTCTGTCACTCACTGTGTCTGAAGAGCCAGGCTGCCCATTTCCTGCACCGCACACGTCCGTGGCCTCCCTTTTTCTTTCTAAATTGCCCTTGGGGTGTATTTAAAGCCCCTCTCATTTGTGTGGCCAGGTTGGGGGTGGTTGAAGAGATAGGTTGATGACAACCCTGGAAGGGCTCACTGGCCCCAGACAGTGGGGTACCTTGAGGGCTATAGGCATCAGTGTGAATTTGATCTTGAGGTTACCTTTTTGAGTTAGGAGAGGTTTCCGAGCAGAAAGTTACATGAAAAATCCAAAGAATCACAGGATCAGGGGTCATTCAGACAGAGAATGCTTATTAGATACCTGGGAAGGAGTAACATGGCAAAGCGAAGGAGCAGGCTGGGGAGACGAGAGCAGGTGCAATGACCAGAGTAGACTTCTGAGGAGCTGGCATCTGGATAAGAAGGAGCCAGGCATTTGAAGATCAGGGCGAAGCGTTCTGGAGAGAGGAGTCGGCAAACACAAAGGCCCTGAAGTGGAAAGTGCTTGACTGATTTGAGGAACAGAGAACGAGTGTGCTGGAGCCCCTGACCCCTGGGAGCCAGGGTCTCCTTATTTACTACAAGATGGAATAATACATCCCATACATGGTTATTATGAGGATTCAGTGAGATAATGTGCATTAAGGCCAGGTCAGCATATGCAACACATATCTTGTACACACGAAGCGCTAAATGAAGAGCTATTATTACACTTCTTTGCCTTTAGAAGCCTCCTGCACCTACTCCTGACAGCCAGTGGAATGTATGTGGGCTGGACGGGGGGGACATGGTGACTTTTTTTTTTTTTTTTTTTTGAGACAAAGTCTCATTCTATCGCCAGGCTGGAGTGCAGTGGCGCAATCTCAGCTCACTGGAACCTCTGCCTCCCGGGTTCAAGCAATTCTCCTGCCTCAGCCTCCTGAGTTGCTGGGACTACAGGTGCATGCCACCACTCCCAGCTAATTTTTGTATTTTTTGTAGAGATGGGGTTTCACCATGTTGGCCAGGATGGTCTTGATCTCTTGATCTTGTGATCCACCTGCCTTGGCCTCCCAACGTGCTGGGATTGCAGGCATGAGCCACTGCACCCAGCTGACATGGTGACTTTTATGAAATGGTTGACTGGGAGTGGAGAGGCACAGGATGGCAGATGAAAAGTGAGTTAGTAAATTGAATTTTTTATTAGAAACTGTGAGTATTCCTGATGAGGCAGGCAGGCCAACACTGCTAGATAAATAAGATATGTGAATTTTTATTCACATCCTACCAAGTCCTACTGATGAAAACATACCTTTTGAGCATTAACTCCTCCTTGAAGATTATGTTTCTACTTCTTGGAGATTTTTTTGTTTCCCTGTAAGCATGGGGAGTTTGATATTCTTGGCCACAGACCTTCAAGGGACACAAAGCAATATCATTGCATTTCATAACACAGTCTCATGTGTTAATTTTGCATATGTAGATGCTATAGTTTGAATATTTGTGTCTCCTCCAAAATTCATGCTGAAACTTAATCCCCAATGCAGCAGTATTAAGAAGTGAGGCAGGCCAGGCACAGTGGCTCACGCCTGTGATCCCAGCACTTTGGGAGGCCAAGGCAGGTGGATCACGAGGTCAAGAGATCGAGACCATCCTGACCAACATGGTGAAACCCCATCTCTACTAAAAATACAAAAATTAGCTGGGTGTGGTGGCACCTGCCTGTAGTCCCACCTACTCAGGAGGCTGAGGCAGGAGAATTGCTTGAACTCGGGAGGCAGAGGTTGCAGTGCGCCGAGATCATGCCACTGGACTCCAGCCCTGTGATAGAATGAGAATCCATCTCAAAAAACAAAAAACCAAAACCAAAACCAAACAAAAAAGAAAGAAGCAAGGCCTCCAGAAAGTGATTAGACCATGAGGCCCCTGCCTGATGGATGGAATTAATTACTGATCAAAGGGCTGGGGGAGCTAGGTAGGTCTCCTTTTGCCCTTCCACCTTTTCTGCCATGTGAGGACACAGTGCTTCTCTCCTCTGGAGGTCACAGCCACGCAGTGCCATCATGGAAGCGATGCTGGGCCCTCAGCAGACACCACACCTGCTGGGGTCTTGATGTTGCACTTCCCAGCCTCCAGCAATGTGAGAAAGAAACGTCTGTTCTTTATAAATTACCCATTCTCAGGTACTTGTTTTAACAACAGAAACAAAACCAAGACAGTAGAATATAAATCCCGGAGTGCACCTTCTGTATATGAATAGCACAACCTACCCTTTGGGTCCTAACCGCTGGCCTTGAGTTTGGATTACTGCTGCCCACACTGATTACTATTCTGGAGCAGCCCTTGCAGCTGAGTGCCACACACTCAGAAGGGCCACCCAGCCTCACCCTGAGTGGACCTGGCACGATGTACGAGCTGACAGTCATTTGTTTTAGAATGACATCTTCAACTGTGTTATTTTGGCACAGATTTTGTTTTCTCATTCATCATGCAGGAGCCCTCTTTTCTCTCACAAAGTAACACACTCTCTCCCAAACTTCTCAAAGTGCGTGGCCTTCCTAGTCCAGCTCTTTATCTCCCATAAAAGAACAGTGCAGAGACAGTGAGGAACGGCAGCCAACATGTGACTTCAGGTAGGCTAAGGGATGGGGTTTAGAGAAGACAGGAATCAACAGGAGAATGTGCCCAGCCTGAAGCAGGCACTGTCACGTGCTTCCAGCATATTGTTGCAGCAGAGGAAAATGCCTACTATTTCCGGCTTCTCTAATTTTTCAAGAGAATCCAGAAATGCAGATATTTATGGGATGTCTTCCAATTTTTAAGTGTGGGCAAGTAATCCAATGTTTTTAAAAACCTGGTGCAGGGAGCACTGTGAGATCGAAAGCCTACGTAGCTGTGGTTGGGAGGTGGAGCTCTGTTTTAGAGGCTCAGTGCAGGAGGCTGTCAATTTCCTTCCCCTAGTTTCTCCAAGTGTTATTCATGAGGACAGAGTGTGTGATACCTGCCTATGTGACCAAGTTATACTGGTCCTTTCTAGGATTTCATTTTAAAAACTGTATTTTTCCACTGTGTCTATGGAGGGCAACACGCTTGCCCAGAGCTTTCAACCAAGTTGCCTGACATCACCTTGCATCCCACCACAGCACAGGAGGACTGAGACATATGTTCTCTGGACTCAATTAAAAAATCCCACTGAAGGGCCCTGAGTCAGTCTGCCCAACTTGAGCCAAATGCCTTCTTTCGAAGGAATCAACTATAAATGGGGTGGGTGTGAAATACTGTGATTGTCTGAGCTTGGATCAGGTACTTCCCCTTGGGCCAATCAACTGTGGCCAGAGGGTGTGTCTCTGTGAACCTGGAGGGTACTATGTAAATCGCAGAGCAGTACAGGGAGGGGTGTGTCCTTGAAGAAGGGAAATGAGATATTCCCTACAGAGAGAAATGGAGCGACTCTCTATGTTATGGACTAGACGTGTCCCCCCACCGACCCATGAATTCATGCCTTGAAACCCTAACCCCAAATGCAATGGTATTAGGAGGAGCTGGGGGCCTTTGGGAGGTGATTAGGTTTAGATGAGGTCACGAGGGTGGGGCTCTGATGATAAAATTGATGCTCTTATAAGAAGACACCAGAGAGCTCGCTCTTTCTCTCTTAATCTCTCTCTTCCTCCACCATGTGAGGGCACTGCAAGAAGGCAGCTGTTCTGCCAGTCAGGAAGAGAGCTTTCACCAGAGGCTAGGATCTGGGACTTTCAGCCTCCAGAGCTGTGAGCATAAATGTCTGTTGTGGAAGCCATCCAGTTTGTGATATGTTATTGTGGCAGCCTGAGCTGACAAAGATACTACCATAGGCACACTAGACACTTGTTAGGAAAATCTTCCCTGTCATTTCCCTGAATGTGAAGTCATTGCTGAAGACATCCTTGCTAATACCAGGCCATGACATTGACCAGTTCTGTCACCGTGGGCTCGTTTTTCGTTTGTCTTGTTTACTCCCTGAGTCTCAGAGCTTTGCTTTCTCTAGTAGGGGTAATTATAATGATCTAGTGCTGTGTGAGCATTAAATGAGATAATATATTTGAGATATATTAACAAGATAATACTTTTTGAGTGCCTAGTATGATGCTTAGCACATTAAATAATAGCTGTTGTTCCTGTTACTCTTACTACTGCTAGGACTTTTGTTGGACTTTTTTTTTCTTTTATCCCCCATGTCTCAGGGCTGATGCTGGAGAGCTGGCGTTTGGTTTTCACACATGGCAACAATGACCATAGGAATCGACTTCGTTTGTTGCTTTGCCTCATTTGCTAACTTAGTGCTGCTTTGGCATAAACGTGGTATGAGTCACTGTGCTGATGGTCCCGTGGCACTTTGGGAAGGTGAACAACAGGGGTCAGAGGTTTCAGATATCTAGGGCTTCATGGGACCATAATTGACAGTGAAGTGGTGTTTTGATCGATGAGTCTTAGAGGAAGTCTGGTCCACCTGCACTGCTAGAGCAAAGCTCAGGCGCTGATTCAATCCTGGTTGCTGGGGCCAGTGTGGATGGCAAGTGGGAGGAGATGATGTTTCTTGGGTAAGCATCAGGACCCTCCTCTGAATCCCGGACCCTGGGTCTTGTGCTCTAGCCTGTTGGTGTCCCAAGGCTCTCACAGACAAGGCAAAGCTGACAGAGGTGGTGAGTTCAGAAGCCATGCTTTTGGAGTGTCCAGGAAGGAATTGGGAGCAGGCTGAGGTCGCCCTGGGGAGGGGGTTGCCATTTGGCTTGAACCTGGAAGAATAAGTAAGGTAGAGGAAGCAGATGAGTGGTGAGCAGCCTGAGGCAGAGGCGTGAAGTGAGGAAAAGGCTGGAACAAAATGTGGGCCAGAAGCGCAGAGACAGGGAGTCTACAAGAGGGACCCAGGCACCAGGTCACCCTGGCTCTTGAATCCTGTGGTTGTGTCACTTTAATATGAAGCTGTTGTCTCTCAGTCCCAGCTCCACCCTTTTACAACTCATTTTGCAATGCTAAACTTGAGACTGCAAACCAAGTTTCTGCCTTGCCAGCTTCTCTTTGTTAGGCTCCTCCAACTGGGGGCTGCAGGGCCCCCACGAGCCTCTGTGAGGCACGCGTGGGAATCGCTCTTCCCTGTTTCCTGTGGCCTTTCTGTCTCCCCCCTGTTCCTGGGAGAATCACCCAGCCCTGGTTCTTCTTCATAGTAGCAACAGTTCCTTTCCACTGCAGCCTCTGAACTGTTCCCCTGAGATGCACCAGCACCGCCCAAACAGGGCCCCTTCCTGAGGCCTGGGCCCCAGATCTTCCTGGGCCTAGAGACACCAGCACCAAGAGCAGAGATGGGAAAGTCCAGAGAAGCATCAAGACCTTAGAAAACATATGTTCTTTATTTCCTCAAAAGTCAGGGTTTTCTCATAGAAGTGCAATCTAGTTCCGTCACGAGTTAGGTTGAATGGATGTGCCGCTCTATTTTTCGGCTCCTGACCCATTTCCATTTGTCTTTTCTCCTCTTC